ATATATATATATATATATATAGGCATATGCATATCTACGCCCTGCTGTTTTTTTCTATTACATATTCCTTTATGTACATCACTCTGCACTCTCCTGCTTTCTGCACCTTCAGCATTAGTCAAGTCAAAGTCAACTTTATTGTCACTCTTTCAGTTTATGTGTACAGACAGAGAGATACTGTTTCCCACAATCCCGAGAATTAAGAAATACAAATATATATACAAAGAACACAACAGTCAATATATACAAAACTTGAATGATGAATATATTACAGTAAAAAATGTCCATTAGTGCAAAGGACTGTCCATCCAGTCAGCCTCTGAATCACACCGTGATGCAGCTGCTGAGGATGCTCTCGATAGCGCCTCGGTAGAAGGAGAGCATGATGGGGGGGGGGAAAGCTCCTGCTCTATTCAGTTTGCAGATGAAGAGGCGCTGCTGGGCTTTCTTGGTGATTGACGTGGTGTTGTTACTCCAGGAGAGATCCTCAGTGATGTGCACCCCCAGGCAGTGGTGGTTCTAGAACATTTTACATGGGGTGGCAAAGGGGGGGCAAGAGGTCATGCCAGGGTGGCATGGGAGGGCGGACAGTACGTGGTATTTTATACTGTATATAACCATGTATTGCAGCGACGTGCTGTCAGTGGAGGCAGGGGAGGCAGAGCCTCACCTGTCATACTCCAATGTAACGGAAAAACAATTAAAGAAAAACTAAATAATAATAATAATAATAAAATGTCTCCACTGATCTTGTGTAAATGTGATTTCTGTATGATTCCAATCGCATTTTATAGTCAAAATCAGCAAATTTGCCGAGCTCCGCTACGGGAGCGATGAGAAGTGAGGCAGGGACGTGCTCGGCCTCTCGTAAGCCCACAGTAACTTGCTGGAGCGCGGGCACTAATTTAGCGCGGCCACTTATTTTGTGAGCGCGCTCAAGCCATTTACTGTGGGGTAAGCCTGTTCCCATCTCACTGTAGGTCACCAATGTAATGTTTGTAGATCCCTTTATTACATTTATCCTCGCCATCCATTGTCTCTAAATAACTTATTTCACGTATATATGATATTTAGGCTCGCTGGTCTCATCGTACAACGGCAATGAAAAAAGCACCAGGAGAGGCAGCCATAACCTCTGCCGCACTGAAGGGGGCGCACGTGAGCCCACAGGTTCTTGTTGCTACTGTTATTCTACCGCAAACAACAAACTAGACTTTTGAAACTACAGGAAGATAAGGAGGACTTTTACAAAACAGTAATAGAGATTGTTGTCCAGAAGGATAGCATGGACTTATATTCATCTTCAAGTCAAGGTAAGACCACAACTGTAATGAAAATGGGATCTTACTTAGAAAGAACAATCCAATATTTAGATTTTGGGTATCCTTTTGTTGATCGGTCTCTTTAAAATTAATCATAGCATCAGACTAAAAAAGCTTTTGAAAATAACAGAATATTTCGATTAAGGTCAAAATAGGCTATAATATTTGTAAATCTGACTCTGAAAGAGTCAGTGCCTCACCAGCCATGAACCTCACCGCACGTCACTGATGTATTGTTAAATCATGCCCTAACACAAGTGTTCTTAATGCACAAGAGAAACAAGGTGGTCAGACCAACAAACTAAACAATAGTATAAAACAGCAGAAAGTACTCATGATACCCTCGAATTCTGTTTACTGTAAGTACAGTAAAAGTACTTAGTTATAATGAAGTGCACAAAGGACATCACCCATCTCTTCAGAGAGCTAAAGGTGACCTGTGCAGCAACACATTTCAATATGTGTCAATACTAAGAGCCGCAGATTGTGCTGCTGTAATGGAATATGTATGCAAGAAGAATAAAAACATACCATGTGGTCCAGCTGGAGTCTCATCTGCCTCCTGATCCCTCTGTCCCTCTTTCTGACACTTCATCTTTATTCCTCGCATACATTTCTTCTTCTTCGCTATTGTCTTAATCTCCTCCTCTTCCTCCTGCTCTGACCCTCCTGGTCTCTTCAGTGAACTCTCTTTTCCTTTTCCTCTTTCTGTTCGTCCTGATCACTTCAGATATGTCTTTTTGATGTTGTTGAATCACTCCAGCTACTCTGGCCTGCAAGAGTCTACTTGTGAAAAGCACTGGTACAAATGCTTGTATAACTTCACACGTTAGGGCCATGTAGCTAATAAGTAGATTATAAATATAAAATCAGAAAGTATTTATCAAACGCACACAGGCAGCTGTGTTTAGATCCAGTTTGACGGTACAGGATGTATCCTGGTTTCATTGATCTGGCCTCATTGCTGTGATGTGTAGTTTACGTGGATTTACCGCATAGTTTAGCAAAGTGATCGATCTCCCAGCTAGCGCTTCTGTGTAGTATTTTGTAACGTAACGCCCCAAACAGCGACCGTCTGTAAAAACGCTATCGATTCAAACGGCAGCGCTTTATTAATATTTTGTTTCAAGCTCTCGTCCTTAGTAAAAACAAAACTTGTGGAAGGGGAAATGCTCCCAGGGGAAGCTGATCCACCTTCAGGTGCTGGGACAGCTCGCTCCCTCTCTGCAGCTCTGTGAGCCGCGGTCTGTGAACGCAGCTCCGCAGTTTAATGCAGGGCCGTAGCTGCGTTTTTAACGGGCCTAAAATGATATTTAAAATGATTCACTTTTAATTAATGAACAGCTTGTTTCGTTGCTTGAGAAGCGTGTGGACATAGTGTAGGTTTGTTTCTACAAGTACAGTTTTAGGGACACAAAAGTGAGGGGGGCAGCTGGGGGGGCAAGGCTCTACAGTGGGGGGGGGGGGGGGGGGCAGCTGCACCCCCTTGCCCCGCCTTAGATCCGCTCCTGCCTCCAGGAATTTGGTGCTGCTCACCTGCTCCACAGCAGCACCACCGATGGTCAGTAGGTGGGGGTGTTGTAGGTTCTTCTGAAGTCGACAACAATCTCCCTTGTTTATCTCCACATTAAGGAAGAGATTGTTGTCTATGCACCACGTGGCCAGCTGGTTCACCTCCTTCCTGTTGTGGGTCTCATCGTTGTTGCTGATTAGACCCACCACGGTTGAGTCATCTGCAAACGTGACGAAGTGGTTTGAACCTCCAGAGCTCTGCTGCTGTTGTTAACCACATTCTCACAATACCTCTCTTTCAGTTCTTAGAGACATGTACAAATAAAACTGCAAAGATACCAAGAGGATACATCAGGTTGATCACATTTATTAAACAATCAAGTTTTCATGAGTTTAAAATGGAAAATGGGTTGCAGCACATCACAAGGCATTTAAAAAGATATAACATACATCACTGACAACAACATAGAAATCGATTAAAAAGAACAGACATAAAAAAAGATATTGGCAGACATAACAAGGGGACTAGGCCCTCATTTGCAAGAGGGGGGGGGTGGACAGTGCCAGACCAGCTGGGTAAACAGTGCGTCCTAGCCATCATTGATTAAGGATATATATATGTATATCACCAATAATGAAATACGTGGTTTTCACTGGACAGGAAGGAGATGTGATTTCTAATCTGGAAGTGAATTACAAGTGCCTTTAATGTTATCATTTACAAAATATTCCTGGCATCATCCCAACTAAAAATAATACTATTTAGATGCTTCAAATATGCTTATATGTTTATGTTTTTTATATGAATGTTATTAATGTAAACCCACAGGAAGTGAAATGCGCTCATCTTGACTGAATCACTGTGGAGAGTCGATATAACAAGAAAAGAAGACGGAGCTTCTTTGAGGAAGCGACACATTTCTAATATTAGGAAGAACTTCCAACATTTCTCTTTAAGAGGCAGCCAGTCTAGAGACTTACACGAATACAAGAGACACGATGGCCGAGTTAAAACTGATTAAAATGTCTTCACTTCTTATTCTGCTGCTTCAGTTTACAGGTAAGGATTCTTACAACATGTATATATTTAGAAACATTAAAAAAGTAATTTATTCATCATGAATGTTACTTTATTACCTAACCTCCTTTTAACCAAGACAGAGAAGTGGTCTGTTTGTCTTCCAACGAGGGGAAGGCAACTTTTAGACACATAGGGAAACTTTTGTTGTATCTTAAATAAACATTTGTATTTCTCTGTATTCTTTATAATTCTCTCTTGTTTATTCAGGGACTGCAATTGGACAGAGATTCCGCTCCCTCTCTGTCAGAGTTGGTGATGAAGCCACTTTGCAACAGTGTTGCACATGATCAGGATAAATGTAATGGTACTACCTGGATCTTTAGTGATTCAGCAAGTGCAGTAATGCTGGTTAGAGGTGGGCAGATTGGTAACCATGCTAAATCAGACAGACTGAGAGTTACAGAGAATTGTTCTCTGGTTATAAAGAAGGTCACAGAGGAGGATGCTGGTTATTACACCTGCAGACAGATCAGACCAGGAGGACAACAAGGTCCAGAGTCTTGGGTTGATCTGTCTGTTGTTACCAGTGAGTATTTCCATCATAATGTTTCCAAACTGTTTGGTAAAACATATACTCTGATTACACTAAAACATAAAAATAATTATTATTACAGTGGTGAAGTGAATGTTACTCTTGTTGTCTTTCTCTCAAAATATCTCCATCTTCAGTGACTGAACATCAGAACAATGATGAGGTGACGTTACGCTGCTCTGTGGGGCCATATAGACGGTGTAGACACACACCGAAGTGGCTGTTTCAGGGTCAAGATGTGGATAAAGATCACAACGATATAAAAACATCACAGTCCTACTGCTCTGCTTCTGTGACATTTCCGACTTCTCATTTTAGTTACACACCAAGGTCTAAGCTTTTTACTTGTGTAGTAACAGCTGGTTCCAACGAGCAGACCTTCAGCCTTCAGTCCTCAGGTGAGAACATGCTGAGCTGTTTAAATGTCATTAACTCATATATTTTTACGTATTCAATGATTTGAAGTTTTATTATTACATCACAATATATTTGACCCATAAGACAGTTTGCTAGTGAAAAGTTTGTTAAGATTTTTCATCTGTTCAGGTGAGGACACAGCAGCAGCAAAAACAGAGAGCGACTCCAGATCAGTTTTCACTACGACAGCTTCTGTGATCACTGAAGATTCAGCAAAACTACAAGGTAGAGGTTTATATATGTATATATGAATATTACTTGATACAAAATATATATCTTAAAAAATGATATTTTCTTTCCAGCTCTCTTGAGGCACATCCTCGTGTCTGTGGGTTTAGCAGCTCTCATAATGATTGTTGTGGCGGTCAACATATGGACAAGAACTAAAGGTGAGAACATTCACAGATGAAACTTAAACTTTTTTTTGAATTGTGGAAAGTAAAGTCAACTTTTTCTTCTTTCTTCTCAGAGAAGCAAACACAGATGGATGAAATCAATGTGAGTTTTTACATCAAAATACTGAAGTGTTTTTACTCTCTCTTCATTATGAACTGATAAACACAGACACAAAGTACAGCCTCCAAAGAGACCATAGATCTGAATCAACACCTCTTTGAACCTGTCAGTAACAACTGAACATGATGAGTTCAGATTAAAGGACTGATTCCCCTGAATTACATCACAGAGGATTTCCCCACCTTCACACTAGTGGCTTTTAGCAATGCTAATAGTTTAGTTCTATTGGAAAACAATGTGTATGTTACTGTGAATAATGTGCAGGATGAAATCTAGTTTCAAAGCAAACTGTCCAGAAGTCAGTAGATTAAATCAGATCAGACGGTAACTGATGGTGCGTTCAGGGTCTGCTGATTAAACTGTGAAATGTGTTTTACTTTGAAATCCTTTGTAACTAACTCAGTGTTGTTGTTGTTTTCCTCAGGTGCGTTATGATGTAGATGATGGTACAGTGAACTATGAAAACATCAGACCTCCTGATGGAGTTTGAGCAACACTTCTGCCTCCATCAGACTCCACTGATTAACAACATCTACATCTATCATCGTGTTTCACATCAGGAGTGGAAGATTCTACAATCATTCTGAATTACATATTATTTCATTTTAGTCTTGATCTAATAAACAACTGGATGTCACTGTAAAGAGCTTTTAACTCTTGTTTCCGTCCTTATATTGTCTTCCAGCTGAAAGTCTCAGAGCTGATTTCAAGATGTACTGATTGTTTTTGAAGCTACAACAGCTTAAGCACATTTTTAATATCTCTGTGTTCAGAATTATTACTTTCATTCACTTTAATTTAGCTTTGCTTTGTGTTTTGACGTCCACTTGATTGAATGGATGTTCAGCCTGAATGTAGAAAGTACGTTTTCTCTTTGTAATATCTGTTGACATTAGAATCTACAAATAAAAAAAAAATCCAACAATTGTGTTTGACTATTTTTGGAAATAGTCTTAAGTCACTTTGGGAAGTTTACATCATACTTATGAGAGGAAGTAGAAGCATCACTTCTTAGCTAACACACTATTTTGGAAACATCTCATCAGAACAACAGATAGAGGAAGCAGAGAGACGGAGAATCAACATGGATGAGTTCAAACTGATTGAAATGTCTTCATTTCTCATTCTGCTGCTTCAGTTTACAGGTAAGAGATACAGCACTCACAATAATCACTGTGGCTGTCATCAGACTGAAGAGGACTCAAGGTGAGGACATGTTGTTGTTTTGATGAAGCTGGATTTGATTGTGGAAGATTACATTGAGGCTCTTTTGTCTCTTCAGAACAGAGACCTCAGATGGAGGAAAACATTGAACGTGTTATGGATAAGAAAACAAAAGTGTTGACAGTAAACATCAGAGAAGTTGAATCAGATCAAACAGTGTCCTAACAATCTTCAACACCAGATGAAATAGAAAGAGATGAGGGGAGACTGGGAGAGAGGATGAAGGGATGTAGAGAGAGAGAGGGATTAGGTGATGAAGGGATGTAAGTAGTGAGGGATACAAGGATGAAGGGACAAAGGGTTCGAAGGGATGAGCGGGTGGGATGAAGGTATATGTAGGGAGAAAGGGATGAATATGTGGAAGACTTTATCAAACCATTGAAGGCAGAGTGAAGGGATGTAGGTAGTGAATGATGTATGGATGAATGAATAAAGGTAGGGATGGATGAAGGGATTGAGGCAGGAATGAGTGGAGGAAGGGATTTAGCGGGGTAGGGATGTAGGTAAGGAAGTGATGCATGGATGTAGGAAGGGAAGGCCTTATGGAGGGAGAAATTAAGGGTCAAAGGGGTGTAGAGGGGAGGGACTAAGGGATTTTAGGGAGAGAGGGTTGACTGGATAAAGGGATGTAGAGACAGAACAATTTGGATGAAAGGGTGTGAGTAGAGAGGAATACATGGATGAATAGATTAAGGGGATAAGGAGAGGGAGGGATGTCAGGATGATAGGGATACATAAGATAGTATGTAGGGAGGGATGAAGAGAGTGAGGGAGGGATGAATAGATGAATAGATTTAAGGGGGCAGGGATGAAGGTAAGGAAGTGATAAATTGATGTATGAAGGATGGATGAATCTTCAAAGAAATTCAGGGGGTTGAAGCGATGTATGTATTGGGGGATAAAAGGATAAAGGGATTATAGGGAGGGGGGTGTAGGAAAGGAAGGGACGGGGGGTAAAGGGATGTAGAGAGAGAAGGGATGAATGGATGAATGGTTGGAGAGAAAGACGGGATGAATGATTGCTGGGATGTAGAGAGAGAATGGATGGATGGATGAAGGGATGTAGAGAGAGAAGGGATGGATGGATGAAGGGATTTAGAGAGAGAAGGGATGGATGGATGAAGGGATGTAGAGAGAGAAGGGATGGATGGATGAAGGGATTTAGAGAGAGAAGGGATGGATGGATGAAGGGATGTAGAGAGAGAAGGGATGGATGGATGAAGGGATGTAGAGAGAAAAGGGATGAATGATTGAAGGGATGTAGAGAAAGAAGGGATGAATGATTGAAGGGATGTAGAGAGAGAAGGGATGAATGATTGAAGGGATGAATGATTGAAGGGATGTAGAGAGAGAAGGGATGAATGTTTGAAGGGATGAATGTATGAAGGGATGTAGAGAGACACAACATTACAACTATAAATAGCCCGAACACCATTTACGACTCATTTAGGTCAGGACAGTTGCTTCTACCTGTTGTGAGAAATAGCTTGAAAAAGAAGAACAGAGGGTGAACTTTAAATAGTCACTCAGCGTGATAACATGTTCCATTACACAGTGTCCAGGAGACTTTTTGAAACCCCCTGATTAACATGCTGTCAGCTTTCAGACAGCTCCTCCAGTTCAGTCAGTCTGTTAACCACATCTTCACAAAAACGCTTCTTCAGTTCTCTGTCAAATAAAAATAAATCTGCAAAGATACAAAGAGGAACCACCAAGTTGTTAACATTCATTACAATCTTAACATGCTCAACTTCCTCTTTTGTTTTGCTGATGAAGAGCGTATGTCTACAGTGACCCTCATTGAGAATAAACAAAGACAAGACAGTCAGCGAAATGCATCACACTTACAAATCTGATGATAAAAAGTGTTTTACTTTATTTATAACACAAAAGAATGAGAGATGAAATGCTAGTGTCACACATGGAGTCAACAACTATCAGAGGAGAGATGAAGTCAGAATTAGGAAATGACTTCTAAACCACAGGAAGTAGATAGTTATTATTAAAGATCAGCAGTTTAGAGACTCTGACAGTCGAGAGCCAGAGACCGAGAGAGAAGCACGATGTCTGAATTCAGAAGGATCATAATGTCTTCATTCCTGATGCTGCTGCTCCACTTTACAGGTGAGGATGCAGAGAACACACTTTCAATAAAACAGCTTTAATATCACTAATGGTACTTTACTACGTACTGTTCCTTTAATTGAGAATGATGAGTTGTGTTTGTAACGTGGTGACTTTAGTGAACTATTGGACAATCAAACCAAAATAGTGAAATGTGCATTATTCTGTATCTAAAGTGATCATCACACTCATTATGAACACTAAAGTTCTACTTGAGCAGAGGCCTGTACTACGAAGCCGGATTTTCGCTTAGGCGGCTGACTTCAGGGAAAACTCGGGCTTTCCGGTCCTACGACGCTGGTTCTCTTTTTAGCGGGCTAGATCTCCATGGTAACTTATGCTGAGCGGCTAACCTCCTCGGGAGGAGGTTAGGTTGCAGGCTAAGAGATCAACTCAGTGAAAGCACCGCCTGCTGACCAATCAGAGCTCCGTGTGCGGAGTTTAAAGCTATCAAGTCATATTACAGGATAGAGGATACAGAAACACTGCCGTTGCAGGAAAGACGGCCGGCAAAAATCAACTGACTGTGTGAACGTGAAAATGAATAGAATATCCCCTCCCATCTTCAGAGCAATCTGACTATTATAACATTAGCGTTAAGAAAGCTTACTTAAATATCTGCCACGACATAAGTAACCGGATCAGAGTAACATTAAGTACAGTCCGCGGCACTGTGAGTGCAGACGTCGATGTGTCCCATTATCATTCATATCATATCACATCATAATGTATCATATATTCCCTTATTTGAGTCAGCTTCTTGAGCCGTATCTGGCCGTGCAACACTCACAGTGTCACATACTGTATGCAGAAGTATTATTTTAAGCAACACATTAAGTTGACGAAACACTCGAGTCAAATTCTCCTAATTAAAGTCAGATCCACTCGTGTCTTGGACGGGGCAGTGATATCATAAACCTGTTAATGTACGCATTCAAACACTTTTTCTTTTACCAGCTGTATTCACCTTGCAGGTGCAGCTATGTGGCTTTTATCCTGGATAAAGTGTTTAAGTCATGGATGTTTAAAGTTTAACTTCTTCATATTTTACTAATATTAAAGTTCACTTTTCATTCAGGAAGTATGACGCTGCGCTGTCAGTACGCTTGTCCATGTTTGAGATTGGTCGAATGCTCCAAATACCACCCCTTTCATGTGAACGCGCACCTAACTATATAGGACACGGCTGGCTTGAGCGATCCACTTGATAACCAGCGTCGTAGTACAGTTTAGCGAGAGCGCGTATGTTTTGGATTGGGCCAACCGGCTAACTCAAACATATCCAGGTTAGGAAAATCCGGCTTCGTAGTACAGGCCTCTGGTCTCCCTTGAAAAAGAGATCAATGATCTCAATGGGATACACCTGGATAAATAAAGGTTTGAAATGAAATGAAATGAAAGTTATATTTTATTCCTCAACAGATGCTCATGATGACTCTAAACACTACAGTTGTTTTCATATTTCTTTCCGTCTTTGTTTTTTTAAACAGCTGCAGATGTGAAAGATTACTCCCTCACTGTCAGAGTTGGAGATGAAGTCACTATGCCTTTTGAAAATGTGATAGATGATCAGGATGAGTGTAACGGTACTACCTGGTTCTTCAGTTATTCAAATAGCAGAGTGATGCTGTTTGAAGGCGGACAGATTCACAACAATACCAAAGCTAAATCAGACGGACTGAGTGTTGAAATAAACTGTTCTCTGGTTATAAAGAAGGTCACAGAGGAGGACGCTGGTTATTACACCTGCAGACAGTTCAACACATCAGGAGAACAACAAGGTCAAGACTCTCGTGTTGATCTGTCTGTTGTTACCAGTGAGTATTTACATCATAATTTTTTCAAACTTTCTTGTTTAAACAATATACTGAAACATTATAATAATAATAATGAGTACAGTGATGAAGTTAATGTTCATCTTGTTGTCTTTCTCTCACAATATCTCCATCTTCAGTGGCTGAACATCAGGACAATGATGAGGTGACGTTAAACTGCTCTGTGGTCCCATATGGAGGGTGTAGATCCACAGTGAAGTGGCTGCTTCAGGGTCGAGGTGTGGATACAGATCACAGAGAGATAAATACATCACAGTCTCTCTGCTCTGCCTCTGTGACATCTCTGACTTCTAATGTTAGTAACACAACAAGGTCTGAGTTGTTTACTTGTGTAGTAAGAGATG